GTAATGCATATAAGCTCACTTTTTTGGCACAAAAAATATATATATATATATTTTTTGCGGTACGTGGGCCTCTCACTGTTGTGGCCTCTCCGGACGTGCAGGCTCAGCGGCCATGGCTCACGGGCCCAGTCGCTCCGCAGCATGTGGGATCTTCCCGGACCAGGGCACGAACCAGTGTCCCTTGTATCGGCAGGTGGGCTCTCAACCACTGCGCCACCAGGAAAGCCCTGTTATATATTTTTTTAAAACTCCAGAAAACAATTTTGATGTGGCTGAGGAGAAACTGGAACCCTTGTGCGTGGCTGGTGGGAATGTAAGATGGTGCAATCATTATGTAAAACAGTATATGGTGGTTCCTCAAAAAGTTAAATACCATATAATCCAGTAATTCTTCTGGGTATATACACAAAAGGACTGAAATCAGGGACTTGAGCAGATAATTGTATGCCAATTGTATACCAACGGCATTATTCACACACAGAAAAGGTGGAAACAGCCCAAATGTTCATTGACAGATGAACAGATGAACAAATGTGGTCTATACATACCTGGGAATATTATTCATTCTTTAAAAGGAGTGAAATGCTGACACATGCTACAACATGGATGAACCTTGAAGACATTATGTGAAATAAGTTAGTCACCAAAGGACAAGTATTGTGTGACTCCACTTATGTGATGTCCCTAGAGTTATCAAACTCATAGAGACAGAAAAGAGAATGATGGTTACGAGAGGCTGGAGGAAGGCGGAAACAGGAATTACTGCTGAATGGGTACAGAGTTTCGGTTCTGGACATGGATGGTGGTGACGGCTGCACAGCAATGTGAATATACTTAATGCCACTGAACTGTACACTTAGTATATTTAAAATGGCAAATTTTATGTATATTTGGTCACAATAAAACAAACACTACTGGTACAACCATTTTGGAAAGCAATTTGGCAACATCTGGTAAGGCTGAAGATGTGAATACCCTCTGACCCTCAACAACAGAAGAAAGGAGTTCAAAAATTGTCATACATGTATACAGTGGCACACTATACAGTTGTGAAAAAAGAATGTTTCAAACTATATGAATCAGCAGGGATACATTTCAGAAACTCACTGTTGGGAATTCCCTGGCCCAGTGGTTAGGACTCGGTGCTTTCACTGCCGTGGGCTTGGGTTCAGTCCCTCGTTGGGGAGCTAAGATCCCGCAAGCCACGAGGTGTGGCTGAAAAAAAACAACAACCCCAAAACAAACTCACTGTTGATCCAAAACACAGAGTCTTAACCACTGGATCACCAGGGGAGTCCCGTGTGCCCTTTTTTGAACTCAGTAAAAACTTTTATTCACAGATAGTATGAAATGCTTCCCCTAATTTTGCTCATTTTCTACAAATGTGTGTGTATATATATGTGCGTGTGTGTAAATATATATATATACACATATGTGTATATTGTAAAATTAAGGTTATGGCTATATAGATGTAAGGTAAAATAATAAGATAGTAGCTACCCTCTGGAAAGGGAGAAAGGATACTAGGGGCTTCAATTGTGCCTGTGATGTTTAGTCTTTAATCAGGTGAGTCACATGAGTGTTTGTTATATTTTTCTCTCTCCTTTTTTTTTTTTGTGTGTGACTGAAATAGTTGATTAAATAAACCCCATATGGGAGCAAAAAATAAGAGAAAAATCCAAAAACAAAAAAAAGGCAAACTTCAAATTAAAATAACCAAACTTCCTGCATCCTCCACCTTTACAACACAGCAAAATAACATCAACTTTAAATATCATTTAAAAGGTACTGCTCTAGGGCTTCCCTGGTGGCACAGTGGTTAAGAATCTGCCTGCCTAAGTCAGGGGACAGGGGTTCGAGCCCTGATCTGGGAGGATCCCACATGCCACAGAGCAACTAAGCCCATGCGCCACAACTACTGAGCCCTCGTGCCTGAAGCCCGCATGCCTAGAGCCTGTGCTCCGCAAAAAGAAAAGCCACTGCAAGGAGAAGCCCCCGCTCGCTGCAACTAGAGAAAGCCCGTGTGCAGCAGTGAAGACCCAATGCAGCCAAAAATGAAAGTAAAATAAAAATTTTAAAAAGGTACTGCTCTATATTTGTGTACCTTCCCTCACCCTCCGAAGTAGGGACTCTGTCTAAAATGATTTGTTTTTTCTTCTTGATGAGTAGTGCTTAGGTCATGTTGGGCATTTAGGTGTCAGTAGATGGCAGTGACAATGGTGGTGCCATCAGGCTGTGTGTCCTAAGAGGGGCACGGCTGTGCCACCTGCGTCCTCGGGAAATCATTCCTCTCCTGCCCACACAGAGCTGCATAGCATATGCTATGGATACGTTGTCATCAGGGCAGCATATTTTCTCCCAGCTCCTCAAACTGGAAGACATTTATGACTAATTCTACTAACTTCCATCAGAGAGAAAATTCTAATCTCAAGGCTAGAAGATCTTAAGTTTCAACTGTGTGAAGTCTATGTATTTCTTTTGGAGTATGCTTTCCAAACAATTTCCCCACGTTGTATGACAGGAGACTCATTTCCAGGTGGTAACAATGCTCCCGTTGAGACAGAAGCCTTGGCACATACATACATTGCCTTTGATTTGCCAGTGCAAAATCTTAGTTAACCCACAAATACTACAGGCAGATACAGGTTTGCGGAGAAATCCCAACATCAGTTAACAAAAGAGAAAAAGGAGGGGAGGGTGATGTACAAGCTCACCCATGCATTTAAATAAACGGGTTTGACAGCAATGCAATGATTTTCTTATGTTTCTTCTCTCAACCACTTTTAAGTGCCACGAGAAATTTTTAGAGCAGGAGAAAACAAGATTTTTCTGTGGTTGCTCTATTTGACAAAGGAAGTGGTGTGTGACTCGCATAGGTCGGTGGCAGAAAGCAGGCTTGAGAAGGTTTATAAAAGGGCCAGGCAAGGCTGAGCTGTGAACCTGGTCTGGACTGAGCGTTCTAGGAGCCCTTGTATACAGGTGTGCTGGGCTTATTCTTGGTGTGTGTCCTTGGATGAGTTACTTCATCCCTCTATGTTCTGGAGTGCTCTGCCCTCCAACCTTATTCTTACCTTCTGTGGGGAATTTGAGAAATTTCTGGACAACGTCTTAAGCCTCATGGATGAGAATTTCCTGGAAATATAGCTACTATTCACAGTTTGGCAGGTTTATACTTTTCCTAAAGCGAAAAGAAAAAACGAAACAAAACTGAGTGACTACCCTGGCCATAAACTTGAGTTTCTACATTCCCTTCCTCTTTATTGTGGTCTTTCTTCCTCAAAGCCACCTTTTTGGACCATGTATCAGGAGCTCAAAGGAAGAAAACAACTGAGTGCCCTTTTTTCTTTTTTTTTGGCCATGCCACACAGCATGTGGGATCTTAGTTCCCCGACCAGGGGTAGAACCCGTGCTCCCTGCATTGGAAGTGCAGAGCCTTAACCACTGGACCGCCAGGGAAGTCCCGTGTGCCCGTTTTTGAACTAGATAAAAAACTTTTGTTTACGAACAGTATGAAATGCTTCCTCTAATTTTGCTCATTTTCTACAAATGTGTGCCCTCAGTCACAGGGGTTAGGAGAGAAATAACAGGTCAGTGCAGCCCAGTCTAATGTATGGGCAGAAAACTCAGACCTTATGCTCTATGGATGGCAGAGCAGAAACATCTTCATACACAAAGCTCATTAGTCAGCCAACAAGCGTTTACTGAATGCCTGGACTGTGCTCAGTGCTGAGTTATGTGTCAAGGTCAGTGTCGTAGGATGCCAGCGTGGCGGATGCCAGTCTGGGAGCCAGGAGAGCTGCCAATTACTCGATTCTGGAAAAAAACAAAAACTTCCTCCTCCCGGGGCCTCAGTTTCCTTATGTGTAAAATTAGGAGGCTGTCATGGTTAACCTCAGATTTTGCTTTCTTCCAGCTAGAACTGTGGCAGATTCCAAAGCAGGATAACAGTTCCCAGAACTCCTGGATCTCGAGAGGCTTCTAGACAGATGGGGAGATTGAGCAATGGCACCCGAAATCATGTTGTTTCTGAAAGAGCACAGCTTGGCCCACCTGGACGTCTAGGCACCTTCCTCTGAGTTGATGCAAAGGGGCCACTCATGTGGGTCCTTGCTCACCATGCTTCAGCCATACTGGTTTCCTGCCCTTCCTTGAATGTACCAAGCTAGTCCTGCCTCAGGGCCTTTGCACATGCTGATCTTGCTGCCTTGGGCTTCATACAGGAATGGTGGCTTGTTCTGCCCTTCTCATCCTTCAGGTCTCCTCAGATATCTTCTCTGAGAGGGCCATCTTCTACTGCTCTATTATTCTCTTATTTCGGCATTCATTTCCTTCTTTGCACACTCCCAATTTGTAACCATTTTACTTTTTTGTTTGCTTCCCTGTCTGTTAGTTCCATGTAAGCAGGGGTCCTTTTTATTTTATTCAGAACTGTATACCCAATTCCTAGTTCACACAGCAGGTCTCAACAAATATTTGTCAAATGAATGACCTGGCTGCTCCACAATTCCGAGGAGCCAAAGGCATCTAAAGTTGTTTTCCGATAAAGTCCCCTTCTTTGGGGTTCCCTGGGTCAAGCTGGGCTTAGGCTGCAGGAACTTCCTTCCCATTGACTGCTTTCTTTGGATCTAGGCATTTCTTTTCCTTGAGGAAAAGGCTCTTATGACATCATGGCGCACACTCCTGTGCTGCAGTGACATCATTACCGCTGCTCACTGTGTCACAAGCCCGTCCCCAGGTTCTTTTCCCTTCCCTTAGAAGCCCCCTACCTTTCCTCAGACAACCCCCGTCCCTAACACGCCTCCCGCCAGGTGCCCAGACTGCTACGTCACGTCCGCCCGCCCGCGCGGTGATGACGTCACGGCCCAAGGGCTGGCGTCACGTGCCCCCCCGCTGGGGGCGGGCCTTGAGGGCGGTGCTTCCGGTCCGCGGAGCCTGGCAGCCAGAGCGGCGGCGGTGGCGGCGGCGGCGTCTGCAGCGGCAGCGGCAGCCGAAACGCGGGGATGGCGGGTGCCGGGAGCGAAGCCCGGTTCGCCGGGTTGTCGCTGGTGCAGCTCAACGAGTTGCTGGAGGACGAGGGGCAGCTGACAGAGATGGTGCAGAAGATGGAGGAGGTGAGCCGAGAGGGGGCTCGCGGCGGCGGCGGCGGCGGCGGCGGCGGGGCCTCGAGGGGGACGCGCGGAGCCGGGGGCTTGGCGGCGGGCTGGAGGTGGCCCAAGGCGGAGGCGGTCGCGGTGCCTCAAGTTGGCTTGAGGGGACTGGGAGGAGAAATGGGGGGTGGTCTTGAGACGGGGTCGGGGGTGAGGGGACCGAGGCTGGGGCGGAGCTGGGAAAAGCGTCCTGGGACGGGGCTTGCGGGGGCTGATGGGGTCCTGAGGCGGGGAGTGGAGCAGGATTAGAGAGCCTGGAATGGGCATTTGCAGACGTGGATGGCTGTGGCTGAGTCCGGTGGGGCGAGGAGGGAATTGGGGGATCGAGACTGGGTTGGAGAGGGTAGAGGGGACGGTAGTTGAGGATTACGGGTGCCTGAGACTGGACTGAGGGGGCCTGGGCGCGGCGGGGGCTTGAGAGGTACAGGGGGACTGAGGCAGTTATTGGCGTCTGAGAATAGGTTTTGAGGTGCTGAGTGGACTAGCTAGATAGAATCTTAGGAAAGGATTGGGGGTTCCAAGATGAGTTTGAGGGCCGAGGGTCTGTACCTAAGTCTGAGAGGTAGTTCTGAGATGGGGTTTTAGGGCTGGGCAGAGGGGTCTCCAAGGTTGGGAGACACGAGGCCACGGGCTTCCCCGGTTAAGATTTGAGGTGTCCATGTATCTGAGGGAGCCTGAGTGTCAGAGGGACCCTCCAGGGTCTGACTTCATTTGGAAGTGGCCTTAACAGCGTTATCCCAGGGGGCCCTTCTCCAGGGTTTTGTGGGAGGGGTCTGAGGGTGGCAGCAGGATGCCCTTTCTGGTAAGAGTTGCCCCGTCGGTGGAAGAAGGGAATGTGGTAATTCTAGTAGGGTAGCTTTGCCCCCCAGTGTCTTTCCTTGCTGGGGCCAAGGAGGATTCAATCAGAGCTGTTTTGGGGGAGGAGATAAACTGGAGGTCGGGGGCCGACAGCCAAGCCCCACCTCTTTGATAGTGGAAGGGCTGCCCAGTCTCTGGGAGGCATGCCACCGCTGTTTCTGGACATCTCACTGCATCCCTGGCGGCGTGGTTTGTTCTCAGGGGTAACTGACTTCACTCTTGCGTTTGCAGTGTGTGCTTTCTTTTCTCCTTTTCTCCCAGCCCTTTTGAACTCT